GCAGGCCGGGCCAGGCCAAACGGCTCGCCCGGCCCTGGCTGGCCACGGTCACATCACTGAGCTCCTGCTAGGGGAGAGGGCTGTCTGGGTCCTGGGGACGCCGTGGTTATGTCACAGCGTTTTCTGGGGAGCAGTGGGTCTTCTTACGTTCTGTTTTTGGTGGTGCTGGGATTGAACTCGGCACCTTGGCACTGAAGTACATTCTCAGCCCCGCACTCCACCCCACCCCCGTTCGGGACAAGGCCTTGCTAAGTCACCGAATGGCCCTAGCTGGCCCAGAACTTGCAGTCCTCCTGCCTCTGCCTGCAGTCCAAGGAGACTTCCTCAGGCCTGACAAAGCCCTGTGCGTGCTGGACAGCGCCGGGCCCGATGCTGTGGGCTCGCTCCCATCGGACACACTTAACTAAGCTCCCAGCTTTTTCTCCACGGAGGGGATTTACCTTCTTTTAGATCTTCATGATATCCAGGGCCAGGCCCACTGTTTCTCCCTTGACATCTTTTGCATTTATCTTGGACAGCTGGAGCCCTCTCTGCGTGGCCAGAATTTTTTTTTTCTTTTTTCAACACTGAGGATTGAACTCGGGGACTGCATATTGAGTTTTATCCCAAACTTTTTTTTTAATTGAGTGGGGTTTCGTTAAATTGTCCAGATTGCATTTGAATTTGAAATCCTTTTGCCTTGGCCTCCCAGAGTGCCAGGATTATAGGTGTGAACCACCATGCTCAACGCAGAGGCACAGATTTTTTTTTTTTCTTTGTTTTTTTGGTTTTTTGAGACAGGGTCTCGCTATGTAGTCGAGACTGACCTGGAAATCATTATGTAGCCCAGGCTGGTCTTGAATTCACAGTGATCCTCCTGCCTCAGCCTCCCGAGTTCTGGGATTACAGGTGTGCACCACCACGCCTAACTATAGATGCTTTTTTATTTTAGCATTCAAATTGCTATTAAATTTGTCTCTTAATATTGAGTATTACAGATAAATGGTTCCATGTGGTTTCCCTGTAGTTAAACTAGTTTTCATTTTTACTGTTTCCTAAGAATTGCAGAATTTTCTTTTTACCCTAGAAAATGTAAAATTTCACCAGGGTATCTATTTTCCCTCATTCCACTTCCCATGTTGCCTTCTTGTTATAAAAACTCAAATGTTTCTTGAGATCTGAAAAAATTTTATTTTTTCATATAATTTTGAAATGTTTCCATCAGTTGCTTTAGGGCCCATTTCTTATGTGGAATTTATACCATCTGTAAATCTGTTTTAATGTATTTTCATTTCTTGTAATAGTTTGCATGACTTCGGTTTTTGCTTTATGTTTGTGAAACTCAAAGAAATCCTTAAATCCCCTTTTAAAACAATGTTTTACTTAATTTAATTGAATTTGTTTTCCGTGTTGCTTTGCTTTCAGAAATGCAGTCTA